GAGAGAGAGAGAGAGAGAGAGAGAGAGAGAGAGAGAGAGAGAGAGAGAGAGAGAGAGAGAGAGAGAGAGAGAGAGAGTGTTACAGACAGACAGACAGACAGACAGACAGACAAACAAACAAACACAGAGAGAGAGAGAGACAGAGAGCGGGAGAGACAGACAGACGAGCGAGCGAGCGAGAGAGAGAGAGAGAGAGAGAGAGAGAGAGAGAGAGAGAGAGAGAGAGAGAGAGAGAGAGAGTCGTTGTGGAGGGAAGGAGACACCTGGTCTATAGCTGCCTGCAGATCTTCGATGTGCACTCCTTCTGCATGGGCAGGCCCCGCTCCGCCAAGCACAACGGTCGTCGCCGCGGTCAATGCGGCAGCATTGGCGCGCAGTATCAGCTGTGACTTGTGCTCGTCATCCTCCTCCGTCCGATTCAACTTGGCATCAGCGATCACCCCCCTCGTCCTCCTCCTCCTGCTGCTGCTGCTGCTGCTGCTGCCAGCCGCATCCAGCCCGAAAGTTGCTGCCGCTGATTGCCCGCGCTTGAGGACGGCAGCGACGTCGGGGACCGAACACGTGGCACTGCCATTCCCGCCAAAAATGGCAGCTGATCTGGCGAGCGCGACCGATGCCATTGCCCTCGGAACGGCTCGCTGCGACGACCGGTCGTGCGAAGCAGCGGATTGCGCCGCCCCAGCCGTCACCGAGCCCACGTGGCAGACGGACGAAGAGGTCGCCGCTGTCGCCATCCCTAGTCCACGTGTCACACGGCTACACACCCGCCGCTACTCGAGCGACAGCTTGACCCCACGTGGCGGATCTCCCCACTGCCCCCAGGTCCAGCTCGTCGCAGGATACGGCACGTACCAGGCCTAATCACTGGGCAGGTTGCATCCGCCAGTCATCCATTTTGTCCCTCCACGAAGCGCTTTCCAGTGGCTACCGGGCAAGAGAGAAGGAGGCAGGGGGGGGTGGGAGGGAGGGAGGGAGTGGGGGCCTCACGAGTCCCGAATGTGGGGACGAGGGGGCACGTTCTCATCGTCGGTTGCCAACATGCCCTCGAATACAGCGCACAGGGCGTTGCATTTGCTCCTACGGCTGCAAAAGCTCGCCGCTGCAGGCAGATCGTCGATCAAGATCGCACGGTTGGAGGGAGCGATTGGGAGAGGGAGGAGGTCGAGGGCGCACCTGTTGCCGGCACCAATCAAACGATGGAGTCTGCGACGACCTCTCACGAGGCAAAATCTACAGAGAGCCAGTCGCTAACAACAACACTGGATGGATAAGGTTCCCTGTCATGCGGGACTCTTTTGCTTTTTGTTTTTGTTTTTTGAAAA